ACTTCTGTCACTCCTGATTTAATGCGGTTGACACTTTGAATCCAGTGCGATAACATTTTGTCCTAGATAGAATCCACACATCCTCAACTGGGTTAATGTCTGGTGGTACTGCAGACCACGGGGGCGTCTCTGTCACTATTTGTTGAAGGTAGGTTTGCACTAACCTGGCTCTCAGTGGTTCGGCATTGTCATCCATTAAGATAGCCGATCTGCCAATAGATGTGCATCAAAATGCGGAACATCTAAAGGTCGGAGGATCTGATCACACTACTTCTGCCCATTCAAAGTTCCAGTTAGAAAAGAAACATCCCGAAACAGTTACACAGCCACCTTCAAATGCTGTGCCCAGAATGTGATCTGTATCCCCTCAAACACGAGCTCTATCGTCAGTCTGACTTAGTAAACACCAATGTTCATCAGATCAGTGGACTAATATTCTTGTTGTCTTTTGTCCGGTAATCGATCACGTGTCCATTGCAGTCTTGTTTGTTTGTTCATTCCAGTAAATAGTGGACGTTATACTAGTCAGCGACAGTGAAGTTAGTCTAGTGTCCAATCGTCTGTTTATATGACACCGACCAACAACGCGGCCGACCAACGCGAACATTGACATTCCCCCATTCTCTGAGCATGTTGGCAGTAGTGAATTGGGCTCACCTTGCCTGTCTTCCCAGATGTTTATCCTCTCTATCTGTGGTCGCTCGAGGTCTGCCACATCAGGGCACTCGCCAATATGACCGGATGGTTCAGACACTGCATTGATCTAAAAATATGCACTTGGCTGTGTGTTGGGGTTCCTTACTTGCGACTAAGTGCATGTTTTGTAGCATAAACATCGGGCAGGTTTACCACGAACATATAGCACATAGTCACAATCTGAACCTAGCCGGTTTGAATGGACAACAGCGAGTGAGAATTTACGAAAATAAAAGAGAGTGTGAACACCTTTAAGCCCTGGTGAAACATGTAGTCGCGAAGGCAATCATTTCCTACTTTACATGTAAACTCTGCCACCACAGATGTACATAAAGAGTTTATTCCTTTGGATGCCATGGGTTTGATTTCACCCACTGTTATTTTCGTCCTAAAAGCATAACATTTTTTTCAGTTTCAGCAGACATTTTTGTTCGCTTTTCGACAATTGAATTGGGACACTGAAAAAATAATAAATGGCTCTGGCTGGACACTGGTCGTGAGTCGAGAGTCTATTCCACTGTACTCTCATTGTATGTTAGTATTGCTGTTAAGTGTCAGAAGTAAATAGCTTAGTAACGAGTAAATCAATTTCAAAAATTCTGATTAACAATTAGCGCTTGAAACTTTTCTGCTGTCAGTGACAGATTGTTAATTCAATCAGCTGATTTCTTCTTGTATGTTTGGTTACGTTTTGGATGTTAAATTGATCGGGAGACACCATGAAGCGTCTATAATTCAGCTGTAAGTGCCGGTTTGTCAGGCGCACTATTTCTGGAGAAAAGCGACTAATGAATGTTCCATTACACCATTAGACACTCCAATTAGAGGCAATTATGTCATTAACGGGGCACCCACATGAATCCTTCACATTAAGGAGAATTAAAACATTGTAAAGGAAATAGATTGAATTGTTGAACAACTAGGAAAAAATGCAAACCCGTGAAGTGAATCTAAAAACGAAAGCAACATCCTACCAGATTGAAACTGAAATTATTATACAAACTATTTATACCTGCAACAGTCACATGTGATAAATGACGTGTGATTACCAAGACGTGATGGGATACATCATAACGACACAAACGTGTTGACGAAAAACAGACCGGAAATTTGACGACTGTCACACATGTGACAAGAGACGGAAGTCAGATATGACGGCAACCAGGCACGTGACAAGGAACAGACCGCAAATATGAGGGTAACCAGACACGTGACAAGAATCAAACCACAAATATGACGGCTACCACATGTGGTGACATGAAGTGTATTCTAATATCGATTATTTCAGTATGACGATTGTGGTTTTTACTTTTGAAAGGTTGAAGAATGACATGGTACATACTTTATCACACAAATATAACGCTATGCCAGAAGTATATTATATATATTACACCGAATTGCTATTTTGTGAGACTAAGTGCACCAGTACTGTTCAGCTTAAATGTCACCCGAGTAGATATAACCGAATCAGTGACAAGGCAGTGAACCCACGTCATCCAGACATAGGGGATGGGACGGTGTCTGAAACGGAATATCTGCTTAAACGGATAATAAAATGGCACGTCCATCACAGCTAACATATTCGTGATATGCGTGCATGGCGTGAAATTGTTAAATCTCTGTCTAGATGTACAGGGATATACCAGAGATCGGTGTCAGCCAGGTCTCAAACACGGACTACATCAGTGTTACATTGTACATGTATTGTACAAGCCCTCTCTTGCTGAAATTGAGGTGATGAAATCGGGTAGAAAGTAATCAACACAGTAGCTAGTTACAGAGAGTAACTCACGGTCCATTGTCTTTGATCAGCGTCCTGTATCCTGTACTATATTTTGACGATAAAATTACGAAGTACAATACATGTATCATTCCAATCGAACCATGAGACCCGATAATCAAAGCAGGGTGTATGTTTACATCATTGTCAAATGTACCCTATGTTTTGAAAACAGAGTGATAGAATTGTGGAAAACAGTCTATGCACAGCTCTGTTAAACCCTATACACGACCCTGATACTGCCTATATAAGGCCTGTGCACAGTTTGTGTTAACTTTGCTCATGGCCTTGATGAGGTAAGGTTCAGCTCTGATACAACATATGTCCAGTTTATGCCCAGTCTAAGTACAGCCTATAGTGTAAGGTGTACAGCCTATGTACAGCCTATAGTGTAAGGTGTACAGCCTATGTGCAGCCTATAGTGTAAGGTGAGTTTATGATAGCCTAAGACAAAGTATCCTCTACAGTGCATGTCCTGCCTAGGATAGTACACCTAAAGAACAGCCTTTGTACTGCCTATGTGAAGCCTATAGTGTAAGTTGCAGCTACAGATAGGTTATCTTACGAAAAACCATATGATTTCCATGTAAGCAATCTTAAGCAGGAAGGGTTTACACAATATTTGTCATATATAATGTCCTCTATTCCTCCTTGTCTCCATTACATTACTCGTATTTCGTTGTTGTCGAACATTGTACAAAAGACAACACAGTGAACAGCACTTTTCGATACAGAGTACCAAACTGAAACGACTGCACCCACTATGGATCGGAAAAGATAGTTTACTTTGTAGAAAATTTAAATTTACAGTAGAGATATTAAAGTCATCACGGATGTCGCAGAATTAAGAGATGATTTGAACATTTTGGTGTACGTTTAAATTGACAGTCGGATGATGAAGAAGTATGTCGAGTCCTGTGCAATATATCAGATAAGCACAGTCTATAAACGTCGTTTTATCTAAAGATGATACATCACCATTACATACATATAAAAAAACCCAAAGCCTTTGGTCAAAAGTAAATGTATTGCATTGTGTTACTGTATAAAGCATGTTATCACCATAGTGGTGCGTGGATACTGTGGCTGATCAGAGGTGGACTGACCAGAGGTCAGTAGTGCACCCGATTCATCACTTTGGCCATTGATCGTACTGCCAAACTAATATCGTTCAGCTTATCAACGCAGCATCAGTGCTACACCGTACACGTACTACTATGTATATCTACAATCGACATGAACTAGTCCTAATTTGATTGAATCAATCCCGGAATGTCTATAATTTGACCAGATACAAGGCTCGAACATTTCATATGCAAATATTGGTGCAATAATTGACAGAGCAGGTCAATAGCTAGAGGAGGTGCTGATTAACTTCGGACATGAAAGCCTGACGGAGAAAGGTGGACAATACGACATGACACGCGGGAAGGGTCGATGGAGATTTAGGTCAATAGATTTGGCGTTCCTGCTTCCTCCTTGTAAACATTCTATAGCAACCATCCTAATGGTTTATAGCAATACATTGCACGTTGCCCTGATTGTACTTTAAGGATTTGTACACAATTAGATGTGTAGCTTGCAGAATACTTTTGAAGAAATGAAATAAAATCAATACAGAAATGTAAAATAAACAAGAATATAACAAAAAAAAACATGTAATATCAGCATGGCCGTAACATTTGTGTATAACGTTGGCGCTGAAAATAATTCCAAATTATTGAAAATCTTAATTATTACTGAAGGTGTTAATTCAAAGCTTACTCGATGTTAATGTAATACAGTAACATTCAGAAACCTTACAGTTGACATGAAAACAACATCTCAGGATTTAAGCGATGTATGATAAATATGATGAGATAAAGGTGTGCCCGCTACCTCGACCTAATGGTGCCCACCACCCTGACCTAATGGTGCCCGCCACCTCGACCTAATGGTGCCCGCCACCCTGACCTAATGGTGCCCGCCACCTCGACCTAATGGTGCCCGCCACCCTGACCTAATGGTGCCCGCCACCCTGACCTAATGGTGAAATCTTTCCTTCAGCGATATCATTATGATTCCATGTTTTCGATACTCAATTCTCCTTTTATATAACATCACTTGGATTGACCAAGGTTTCCATGACGACTGTCGTCGATGAAACAGAAGACTTTTATCGCTCTACCTTGGTCTTATTTCCTATGCACTTTTCGAGGGAACCTCTTGTAAACATTCGCCTGCCTCTGTCCTTTTCCCACCTCTGACTCTAAACGTTTCCTGCCTCCGGTTTTGTTCATTTTTCGTTTTTCTTTGTCCATTTTTATCTGCCTTTGTCCTTTCCGAACCCTTCTGTATTTGTCCACTTTCAGCCTGTGTCTTATTCATTTGTCATCTGTGTTTCTTGTTTTGCTCTCGTTTTCATGTATTTCGAGTTATTTTTTACTAGAACATTTTGACTACTTCCGTTTTTGTTTTAAGAATACATGATCACCATCATAATGTAGAACTTAAATCCCCTTACTACTTATGTTTTTATTTGCAGGACTACACGATTACCATCTACCTGAACCAGTACTGGGCCGATGATAGACTTGCATTTGCCCGTTACAAACATGGCACGCCAATGACTTTGACCGGAGACTTCGCTGAGAAAATTTGGGTCCCTGATACCTTCTTCGCGAACGACAAGAATTCTTTTTTACACGAAGTGACAGAGAAAAATAAAATGATACGGCTGTATGGAAATGGATCTGTTGTTTACGGTATGAGGTAAGATTCTTGCTGCAGTGTGTATTTCAGGGCTAAAATAAATATTTTTGTTATGTGAGGGAGAAGACATATAAACAGCGGTTTTAAAACAGTACATATGATGTGACAGATGTTTTTGAAAAGTTTTGAATAAAATGTTGTTGAACATTTTAAAAGAAAAATCAGGGCGGGAAACTGGTAAATAATTGTATTACATTTACACGAAGGATGTGACTAAACATGTAAAATCTATCACCAAGGTTAAGTAAAAGTAGCGCCATGAATGGTTATGTAAAATAGTGGTGGTTTTTCCCACTCTAAATATATATATATATATATATATATATATATATATATATATAAGAACATATTATCATGCCGGAAATGTAAGCAAATACGCATTAAAATTCATCACTACATACTTATATTACAGAAATATTACGGCAGGTTATCGATTCTGTATTCATTCGAAAATACAGTTAGTGAATGACTCGAATACAGAAGTTGTTTACGTCCCCGTTTATGTGATATCTACTCTGTAATGTCGAAGTTATCGTCAAGGTTGTTACAGACAACATAAGTCAGTATGTTAAGTGTAGCTGTACAGACTTTACATGTGATATCTACTCTGTTATGTCGAAGTTATAGTGAAGGTTGTTACAGACAACATAAGTCGGTATGTTAGGTGTAGCTGTACAGACTTTACATGTGATATCTACTCTGTTATGTCGAAGTTATAGTCAAGGTTGTTACAGACAACCTAAGTCGGTATGTTAGGTGTAGCTGTACAGACTTTACATGTGATATCTACTCTGTTATGTCGAAGTTATAGTGAAGGTTGTTACAGACAGCATAAGTCGGTATGTTAGGTGTAGCTGTACAGACTTTACATGTGATATCTACTCTGTTATGTCATGTCAAGGTTGTACAGACAATAAGCGGTATGTTAGGTGTAGCTGTACAGACTTTACATGTGATATCTACTCTGTTACATAAGTCGGTATGTTAGGTGTAGCTGTACAGACTTTACATGACGTCATGTAAACAATAGCTTTGAAGAGACACGTACAAATCAGTTTAGTAAAAATCATTTCTGCTGTGATCGGAACTGTTATGTCGAAGTTATAGTAAAGACCTTGGTGTGTAACATGTGTATCTGTTAATCAGTGAATCCTTTGTACACTTTGAAGGAGCAGTTTAGTAAAAATCATTTCTGCTGTGATCGGAACAACGATAAAGACCTTGGTGTGTCTGGTATCAATCAGTGAATCCTTTGTACACGGAGCGAGTTCTAAGAGCTGTCGTTCCCACAACCTTTCTAGGATTTGTGGCCGGTATTCTGAACACTCGTGTATAAATGTTATGTCATTATTATGTCCGCTGAACCTTACAAATACCACTCCCAATTCTAATAGATGATTGCCATAGCTAATCCTACTTCATAGCCTCTTCTCATGATCTATGGCGAGATAAAATGACTTTAAGAAATTGCCTTTCAAGAATAGATATCTGTAATGATGAATTCAATTATATTTGCACAAAGCTAAGCGCCGGGAGCCGAGACCGTGTGCTAAATAACCCGTTTGAATGACAGTTTTACAATGGCGACCATACTTCTATGCTGGATATAAACTCGCGTTCCAACACCAAAACTATTTTTTTTTTCTTTTTTACTTTTGCCGTTCCACCAAAAACAATTGTAATCATAATTGAACATCGGCGGTCCATCAAATATTCATATAGGCCATTTTATAATTGTATTCCATCTGGAACATAGTACTTTTGATCTTATTTTCCAGTCCAGCATGTGCAGTACAAAGACATACAGCGACCATAAATGAAATTCTCAAACTAACTTTATAAATTGGTACTCTATCATTCAGTAGATAAATTTTGAGCACGCCCTACCTTTTGCGTTTAATTCCTTAGAGGAGGTATCAGTTCGCTATTGTTTCCAGCTACCATTATCGTATGACCTGCAGTCTGTTTGACAGTCTCATTAGATACCCAAGACTAACATCCTGTTGCTCAGTCCAACCCACGAACAAACGGAACGAGAAATAATCATATCAGCCTGTTTAAATGGAGTACAGAATTATTAAACTCACCTCCATGAATCATACTTGGGCAAGGCAGTCTTCCTGTGTATGAGAACATTACTTTATTTGTTATAATCGGCTTCCATGTGTTTCTTTTTGAAATACAGAAGACAGGGAGAAGGAAATGAGTGTGTAGTTGATGTCCTATCACAAAAGATTAAAACATATCTTATATTTACAGATTCACCACAACTCTGGCCTGCATGATGGACCTCCACAACTATCCTCTAGATGTTCAAAACTGCACCGTGGAAATAGAGAGCTGTAAGTAGGCTATGTATATCTTTTGTCCGCCCATTTGTTTGTTTGTTGTTTTTTTTTTTTTTTTTTTGAGAATGTTATACATTCAAATATACACCCAGTTCTATAATCTATTGAACTATAAGATATTATAATATACGTACTCCCGTCCCTGATATAAGTATGTATATCTTCAGAACCCCGTTCATGGTGACAGGCACTGGTCGACAATTTATCTGTCTATCCAAACCAAATGATGCTGTACCCCTATTTGTTGGTTTTAATAACATGTTTGATGTAGTCCTAACGACCTCAGATTCAGACAATCAAAGTATAGGCAATATATAGCTTTGTTGCATTCCCGTATCGCCTTGCTAAACACGAACATATGGCCCAGTATACCCTGTTGTCATCATTCTGTTATCGTTGTTCAGTTAGGTATGGGTGTTATGTTAGAAAACGATATATAATTACGGAAAAGACTCGCCTTAATTACCTCATCCTAGAAATGTGTCATGGGGTTTTGTTAACGACTTGGCACGCCCAAAGTACATGTACTCTAACGGTAACCAATATATCGCGAGGCTCACACAATCTGTTCTCAGCATTGCTGAAGTTTTAACACAGAATCACGGAGTTTTTTCATTGAAGATTTCCTATATCACCAGTAGCTGGTAACAAAGCCAAAAATGACAACACAATCATAACCTAAACTCATATTTAAATAGAAATTGATGGCGAAAAAATTTGCTGTGCTTTTCACCTATACTTAACCTCGTACCAAAAGGTCAATCCTTTCCTCAAACATGATAACCAGCCATTGAAGCAATTCATATATAACATATCTTAACTACACAGTACAAACTTATATTTTTTATTTATTTGAGTTTAACCGAAAAAGGACTTCTTTAATTCGAACCCTGCCGAAAGCCAGAAGTTGACCTTTGACACATTTTTACTACTATAAATAGCAATGCGATTGATCGCAATATACAAAGGACCAATACTACCACTCTGTAACTCTTGGTTACTGAAAAGATGCCATTTGAAAATTTTAACAAAGTGACCCTTATGACCTTGAATGTGGGTCAATAGCAATTGAGCACTGAATGCTAATGACAAAATTTAACCACTTGGTGGGTTCGGTTAATAAGCACATGTCATTTATCTTAGAGATTGCATGTAGTGCACGTTGTTGATTGCGTCACTGAGGTGTATCTTTATCTGCAAAAAAGTTTAAAGAAACCCAACATGTCAACACAATCATAATCCAAATCTCATCTTCAATAAAACTATGGCAAAATATGAACAAAAGACGGAGACTCCTGAAAAAATGTATAATGAGATTAATATCAAGTGTTTCGGACGAGTCTTCTGCAAACCATTGTCCAATTCATTTGATTATACATCTGTTTATTTGATCTAACGACGGAAGTAACTTTTTTTTTGCTTTATATGATGAGTTCGTCTATCCCTATCTCTGTTCACGGCTGTCTCTGTTCACCGATTGTTCACGGATGTCTCTGTTCACGGATGTCTCTGTCACCTGGATGTCTCTGTTCACGGATTGTTCACGGATGTCTCTGTCACCTGGATGTCTCTGTTCACGGATTGTTCACGGATGTCTCTGTCACCTGAATGTCTCTGTTCACGGATTGTTCACGGATGCCTCTGTTCACAGATGTCTCTGTTCACGGATGTCTCTGTCACCTGAATGTCTCTGTTCATGGATGTCTCTGTCACCTGGATGTCTCTGTTCACGGATGTCTCTGTCACCTGAATGTCTCTGTTCACGGATTGTTCATGGATGTCTCTGTCACCTGGATGTCTCTGTTCACGGATTGTTCACGAATGTCTCTGTCACCTGGATGTCTCTGTTCACGGATTGTTCACGGATGTCTCTGTCACCTGAATGTCTCTGTTCACGGATTGTTCACGGATGCCTCTGTTCACAGATGTCTCTGTTCACAGATGTCTCTGTTCACGGATGCCTCTGTTCACGGATGTCTCAGTCACCTGGATATCAACGTTAATCATTTCCCCTAGCATTAAGGATACTAGTAAAAAAAAAACCTACTTAACGAACACCTGCACGAGATGTTGACCTAATTAATCTGTCAATCTTAGGTAACAAATCATCAGATTTCCATACATCTTTAACCTTTCGACATGTTCAATTTCAATATTTCCATTGGTAGTCAGGACCCAGTTGCTTGTTTTTCTTCTCAATTCCCTTTTTCATTGGCAATAATTTTAAATTTTCATTAACCACTGATTAACTCTGACCGCGCTTTGAGCGACTGGGTTCAGATTTATAGTGGCAAGTGGCAGCATTGTTATGTTATCATTGTAACTATGTAACACCAGATGTTTGTCAGCACTCTAGAGACTTCATTCCTTGAGGAATTTTCACCAAACGTCATACAATACTAGAAACAAATTGTCAGCAGTATGGCGACTTTATTCTTAAAGGATTATCATCAAACTTCAAACGCATAAATCGTTAAAATATTCTGGACAATTTAAGGTCTCAGGGTATTTGGTCAAGGTCAAGTTCACTACACTATTTTTAGACTACTATTGTCAGCGCCCAAGTAACTTCATTCAAAATTCATATACATAGATCATCTAAATACATAGAACCAGTATAAGCTTCCGAGATGTTCGGGCAAAGTCAAGTTCAGCGCTCTAGCAGCTTCATTTCTTGAGGGATTCTCATCCAACTTCACACACTGTTAAATCACTCAATATCTACTAAGTTGCAAGGTCATTGTTTTGTTTTAGAAAAATAATTGTCAGCACTCTAGTGCCACTTACATGATTTTGACCAAACCTCACACAATTACAATTGACCATAACAAATAAATTAACATTGGTGCTAAAATAGCTTTGCCACATTTTCACATTCCTTTATTGCATCCGACACCAAACAGCACAATCTTTACAAATAATTACAGTGAAATAGCTTGCGATATTGATTTAGCAATACTTAAAATTCACGGACGAGGACAAACGAATCTTTTCCCAATAGATAAATTGACAAACGATGACAAAATATCTTATTCAAACTCGACAAAAGAGGACAAAATATCTTATTCCCGACAAATAACTCAAACTCGACAAAATATCTTATTCCCGACAAATAACCCAAACTCGACAAAACTCGACAAAATATCTTATTCCCGACAAATAACTCAAAATCGACAAACGAAAGATGAATATAAACAAAACCGACATAAACTTTAAAAAACACACACACACAATCACTTGAATCATTCATCAAATTAGGTTCACGTGTTTATATTGTGAATGTTTGAATAAGAAATAGATTGATGTAAAGCCATATCTAATTAAGATGGTAAATGTTTAGATCGGTACATAACACTTGGAAATATAACTGTTGTTTTAGATTCCTTTGTATGCAATTAAGGATTTCAATTTGTGTATAAAAATGTTCACCTTAGCAGACACAAAAAAGCAACATCAGAACAGAGCTACTCACCAAACCGAAGTGAATATAGAGTGTAAGAAATCAAATATTTCGTGACAAAAGAGTATAAAGCTTCTATAATAATCGTTAGATGTATCAAGTTTTGTCACGATTGCATTGGCTGGTTTGTCTGGTCTCTTGGTAATCTAATATCAGAAAGGTAACCAGCCATGTTCTTATATATAGCACTCAATAAATCACGTGCCACAGCTTCGTCTGCTCTCATTTGTCATACTCTGGATCGAGTTCAAATCGACAAATCGAGTGTTCTTTACTTTATCAACCGTACGTGCTGATTTGTTTGATTATCTACGAAGTCTTCGCGAATTTCTTACGTCATCAGGAAAAGAAACGTGACTGCTGTATATCACTGAGGAGAGGTTAATTATTAGGATTTTTAAAGATCACGGGGTATATCCGATTGTTTAAAACATATCAGGAACCACCCAAGAGCTGCTGTACATCAAGGACTGAATCTTTTCCAGAGCGAAGAGAGTGGTATCTTCGATGTATTTTAGGAAACAGTCGCGGAGATCTTCTGTACCTCATTGCATGTTTGAGACGACACTTTCGGGCACCTGCATGATCGAAAGTCTATTCTCTCTTAACTGTTTCGGCAACACTTATGGCGGAGTTCTAGTGTACCTCACTGCATGTGTGAGACGACACTTTCGGGCACCTGTATGATGGAAAGTCTATTCTCTCTTAACTGTTTCGGTAACACTTATGGCGGAGTTCTAGTGTACCTCACTGCATGTGTGAGACGACACTTTCGGGCACCTGTATGATGGAAAGTCTATTCTCTCTTAACTGTTTCGGTAACACTTATGGCGGAGATCTTCTGTACCTCACTGCATGTGTGAGACGACACTTTCGGGCACCTGTATGCTTGAAAGTCTATTTCTCTTAACTGTTTCGGTAACACTTATTGCGCAAATAATTAGGCAGTTAATGTCTTCATATATATTTTTGCTTTCCAATCCATCAAACGTCGTTCCGACTAAAACAGGATCGTTAACCTAACATCACAAACCCTTTAAAATATCGGGAACATTTCTCCGTATAGACATTCTACACTGCACCCTCTGCTCTGTCTGTATAGACATTCCCTACTATACCCTCTGTCTGTATAGACATTCTACACTGTACCCTATATCTGTATAGACATTCTACATTGTACCCTCTATCTGTATAGACATTCTACATTGTACCCTATATCTGTATAGAAATTCTACACTGTACCCTATATCTGTATAGACATTCTACACTGTACCCTATATCTGTATAGACATTCTACACTGTACCCTCTATCTGTATAGACATTCTACACTGTACTCTCTATCTGTATAAACATTCTACACTGTACCCTATATCTGTATAGACATTCTACACTGTAACCTCTATCTGTATAGACATTCTACACTGTACCCTCTCTCTGTATAGACATTCTACACTGTACCCTCTATCTGTATAGACATTCTACACTGTACCCTATATCTGTATAGACGTTCTACACTGTACCCTATATCTGTATAGACATTCTACACTGTACCCTCTCTCTGTATAGACATTCTACACTGTAACCTATATCTGTATAGACATTCTACACTGTACCCTATATCTGTATAGACATTCTACACTGTACCCTATATCTGTATAGACATTCTACACTGTACCCTCTCTCTGTATAGACATTCTACACTCTATCTGTATAGACATTCTACACTGTACCCTCTCTCTGTATAGACATTCTACACTGTACCCTATATCTGTATAGACATTCTACACTGTACCCTCTATCTGTATAGACATTCTACACTGTACCATCTATCTGTATAGACATTCTACACTGTACCCTCTCTCTGTATAGACATTCTACACTGTACCCTATATCTGTATAGACATTCTACACTGTACCCTCTATCTGTATAGACATTCTACACTGTACCCTCTCTCTGTATAGACATTCTACACTGTACCCTATATCTGTATAGACATTCTACACTGTACCCTCTATCTGTATAGACATTCTACACTGTACCCTCTCTCTGTATAGACATTCTACACTGTACCCTATATCTGTATAGACATTCTACACTGTACCATCTGTCTGTATAGACATTCTACACTGTACCCTCTGTCTGTATAGACATTCTACACTGTACCCTCTATCTGTATAGACATTCTACACTGTACCCTCTATCTGTATAGACATTCTACACTGTACCCTATATCTGTATAGACATTCTACACTGTACCCTCTATATGTATAGACATTCTACACTGTACCCTCTATCTGTATAGACATTCTACACTGTCCCCTCTGTCTGTATAAACTTTCTACACTGTACCCTATATCTGTATAGACATTCTACACTGTACCCTATATCTGTATAGACATTCTACACTGTACCCTACTGTATAGACATTCTACACTGTACCCTCTATCTGTATAGACATTCTACACTGTTCCCTCTGTCTGTATAGACATTCTACACTGTACCCTCTATCTGTATAGACATTCTACACTGTACCCTCTCTCTGTATAGACATTCTACACTGTACCCTCTGTCTGTATAGACATTCTACACTGTTCCCTCTGTCTGTATAGACATTCTACACTGTACCCTCTATCTGTATAGACATTCTACACTGTACCATCTATCTGTATAGACATTCTACACTGTACCCTATCTGTATAGACATTCTACACTGTCCCCTATATCTGTATAGACATTCTACACTGTTCCCTCTGTCTGTATAGACATTCTACACTGTACCCTCTATCTGTATAGACATTCTACACTGTTCCCTCTGTCTGTATAGACATTCTACACTGTACCCTCTATCTGTATAGACATTCTACACTGTACCATCTATCTGTATAGACATTCTACACTGTACCATCTATCTGTATAGACATTCTACACTGTACCATCTATCTGTATAGACATTCTACACTGTACCATCTATCTGTATAGACATTCTACACTGTCCCCTATATCTGTATAGACATTCTACACTGTTCCCTCTGTCTGTATAGACATTCTACACTGTACCCTCTATCTGTATAGACATTCTACACTGTACCCTCTGTCTGTATAAACTTTCTACACTGTACCCTATATCTGTATAGACATTCTACACTGTTCCCTCTATCTGTATAGACATTCTACACTGTACCCTCTGTCTGTATAAACATTCTACACTGTACCCTCTATTTGTATAGACATTCCACACTGTCCCCTCTGTCTGTATAGACATTCTACACTGTACCCTCTATCTGTATAGACATTCTACACTGTCCCCTCTGTCTGTATAGACATTCTACACTGTACCCTCTATTTGTATAGACATTCCACACTGTCCCCTCTGTCTGTATAGACATTCTACACTGTTCCCTCTATCTGTATAGACATTCTACACTGTACCCTCTGTCTGTATAAACTTTCTACACTGTACCCTATATCTATATAGACATTCTACACTGTTCCCTCTATCTGTATAGACATTCTACACTGTACCCTCTGTCTGTATAAACTTTCTACACTGTACCCTCTGTCTGTATAAACTTTCTACACTGTACCCTATATCTGTATAGACATTCTACACTGTTCCCTCTATCTGTATAGACATTCTACACTGTACCCTCTGTCTGTATAAACATTCTACACTGTACCCTCTGTCTGTATAAACTTTCTACACTGTACCCTGATCCTGTTACGAGATTTCTTACGGTATCGTTTATTCTTCGTCTTTCAGATGGCTACGACTTCCACGACCTTTACCCTCATTGGCGGAATGGAAAAGACTCTGTCCAAGGAGTCGATAAGGTACAGCTGCCTCAGTTTGATATCGTGGAGTACCGGACAATAGAGAAAATAGAAAGTCTGTCTACAGGTTGGTATATCAAGCTTGGAAAATCACCGAAAGGCGAGCAAATGTTTTGTTTTAAGTCAGAGAGGTCGGGTTTAGACGCAAAACATTACACGTCCGCCCTACATGTTGGACCTAGTAAGAAATATAGGAGACGTTAAATTGATCAGTATTCGATAACAGGCGTGTTTTTTTCGGTTTCGATAGCATCCTTGTTAACTTCAATATATCATTTATCTCCTCGTGTTTTTAATCACTTATAGAAATACATATCGTTATCAGCTACCGATTTAGACAAAGTCAAGGAATACGTTATTTGTTTCAATTATTTACGATCTTCTGTTCGCTGGCACATTTCCCCTGATGGTGACATTACCCTTTCAATTTTAAACGGTACAAATTGTTCCAGATTTTTTCACGTCTATACGCTGAGAGTCACAATCCACCGGGAGCACGTGGCGCTTTTATTTTGTCCATATTTTATTTTTACACTTTCACAAATACAAGTTTCACACATTCATTCTCAAGGTATGTAATGAGTTGACAGCGAGGCACTTCGTCACATTAACACCTTAATACTGCGATAATGATCATCAAGCTATATATGTGTACTGATGTATAGCGTGTAGACAGCCGCTCCTCAACACTGAGGTCGGATTTATGCACTTTAGCAAGCGATGCGACTTAAAATCCTGTTTCTTCCATAAATACTATTGTCACTCACTGAATTTGTGTCTCTTACGTTACATTTGTGCACGTCCATACACATAGAATGTCTATGATCTTCTTTGTTAAGATAAGTTTCAATTAGACAGCTTTATTTAATAAAACTGTTAGTGAGACAAACTAGTATCGTCGGTTTTGTAATTGTTCAGTCATTTGTCTAGGTTTCTTCTCGCAAATCTCAAATGTCTGGAATGAAATATCATTTTGTGTAATCCGCATCAATATTGAAATGGCTAACAAATTTGCTGAATTATTTTGAAATTAAGAAAGATTTCGCTTTATCTGATCAAACACGATCCTCCGTCACAATGTCCGCTGACCACGAAAACTAACAAATCTACAAGAACATGAATATTGTTAACACTTAGAATGAATTTAAGTATTTCACCAGAGTTACACATTCTTCTTTGTTATTACCGTTATAGAAATCTGATACATAATCAGAACAAATCTACATTGATATTTTTCTTAGAGTCATAATATGAATAAAGGATGTGACGCTACAAACAAACCAAATATGGATCGATAATTAGGGCATACAATTAATGTTCTTTATTAAGAAGCTGAACAGCTGGCGCCATGTCAATATTAATAAACAAATAAAAATGATTTTGAAATTTAAAACAAAACAGTAAATTTAATTATGAACAAATGTCATTAATCTATAACTTTGTAATACTGCAAATTATTTCTGAACAAATTTGATAACCAGCACATTATACATGTTCTGATTGCAGGAGACTATCCAAGGCTGTCTTTGAGTTTCAAGCTTCATCGAAATGTCGGCTACTTTATATTCCAAACGTACCTGCCATCAATCCTAATTGTGATGCTGTCCTGGGTATCATTCTGGATTAACCACGAGGCCACATCTGCCAGAGTGGCACTAGGTAGGTACACTATAAACCACGAGGCCACATCTGCCAGAATACGACGTGGTTGATAAACCACGAGGTAAACCACGAGGCCACATCCCAGAGTGGATTTGGTGTTTAGTGGCACTAGGTAGGTACACTATAAACCACGAGGCCACATCTGCCAGAGTGGCACTAGGTAGGTACACTATAAACCACGAGGCCACATCTGCCAGAATACGACGTGGTTGATGTCGTGATTTGGTGTTTAGCGTCAACAGTTCCAACTTCTCCATTTCTAGGGAAGTTACAGTGTCTATTTTGTTACGTAGTATTACTGAATTATATCGTATGATTTAGATTCCTACATGACTAGTGGCATTTACGTTGATGATTTTGACATTACAAGCCCAGTAATTGTTTTTATCAGTTATTTGCCTCTGTCCTTCCAGAGTGAGCAGTACTGACGAATTGTTAGGTTACTTGTTATATAAGAAATGATTACAAATTAATTAAGAAAAAGTGTAAATGCTCGAAATTTAGAAAGTATGTTGAACAATTGTCCATAGCAATTTCTAAAACATACAAGAAATACCGGTAATTGACCAGGACACTATGCACACCACTGTTGAATCAGTTTCCACTACATATATAGTAACTCTATAATTCGCGATTTCTGAGATAGGTGTTCCAAGCTTTCACATTTTCTATAATACAAGGCATGGACAGAGTAGTGCCAATTAAAAAGGATTTTAATTTATCGGCTCTATTCTACTGCCTTCTGCAATATCTTATCAGTTATATTATACATATCCCTTAATTGGATTTCTGTACGGGAGACGTTACGTAACCGTCCTGGTGCAAGCGTACCGTCGCCAATGAAGACATTTCCGGAACACGTCTTCCTTTTAGGTCGTAGGTTATACTCAGTCGCTTGTTTTGTATTTTGTCCCCGCGTTTTATCGATTTTAACTTCAGTTTACGGCTTTTGGACAACACTTTTTGCTCTCTTGCTATCTTTCCTTGTAAAGCGCTTGGCCTTGATATCACCAGTCTCCCAGCTGCGACTGGCGTTTCTCTGCCTGATTGAGATTTATCACGAACAATTCTGTTTTGTTTGAATTTGATTTCGCCATATTTCATTCCATCCAGAAATTCATGTCCAGGACTCGCGCTTACAATGTAATTTAAATATGATTCCGCGTGATCTCAGTCTTAATGTTTTGTATATAGATATTGACTCATGTTGAAGGTTGTTGGGTACAGAAAATTTATAAGTATAACAGGGATGAAGACTCACGAGGTAGACATTTTACGACGCTGATATCATGTCTTAAGGACTTCGCCAAGCAGTGTCAGTTAGTAGCAGTTGTTCGATGCACGAGGCAGAGATAAACAAATCAATACCTAGCTATTCAATAAGTTTTATTCCGACAGCTCGGTTTCACAAAATACGTCGTGAAGATTTAGTACCAATGTTCGCCATATTGACAAACTGTATCATATCGACCCTACTTACCCCTCACACAAAAAAAAAATAAAGTAAATGTAGCAGGTGAAAACTACTCCTGTTTTAACTTGGGTGTGACATTTGCCTGAGCAGCATGTGCTATCATATACATTAGTATATATCACTTTATTTCAAAAGAAACACCAACAGAATGTTTCATCGTTTGTTGAGGTTCGTGACATGTTCTAAAGGTTTTTTTCCAAGAGTCAGTCGTGATGTTTCCAAATGTATATATCATGTATAATACGCAATCGAAACTTGGCTTCAAACACCAAAACAGCTCACATCGGATAATATCTTCAGCTTGTCAAACTAGCGAGGAAGTCACGACATATACATGCATAACGTGGTTTACTTGACTTAAAGTGGAATAGCGTATGTAAATCACGTGCATACAAGCGCACTTATATAGTCACGTCATCGAAAGGATGGTGAGTAAGTACGTAGAATAAGATATATTCCCTTACTGTATATCGGAGTCCTACTTTCGGATAGCTCGTGAGAATTTTTTTGATGTAAATAAAGCATTGCCCCGGTACAACAATTAGATGATTGTTCAATGTTAAGCATACAGTTGTCTACAATGAGTTTATGCCATAGCTAGCAATCACTTAAACTGAGTCACAGTAACAGCCACAGTAGAATACCAAAATGTCAACAATATCACTAGGACAAATATGAACAAAAGAAAGAATTAACCGGAGACTTCACGGTACAAGGATACTAAGACCAAATGTTCCTAAATAGTAAGCATTTCCTGTGAACGTGTCAAGAAGACATTTTTGGTAACGCTAACCTCCTCATGGTATTTGCCATTTGTTATCATAATATGTTGCAACAAAGAAAACGCTGATATGCCATCTGAATTTTGAATCGAACTCAGAATCGATAAAACTAGGGCACAATATGAGGAAAATAAATATATACACGGAAATGCCTGAAAATGTATATGGAGAATAAAGTGTTCCGGAATAGTAGGCGTCTTCTGCTACACGATATACATCATGTAAACATTGGTCAAATCAAGTTATGTCACGTTCTTAAAAGATCAAAATATATACAACAATGGCACCACCAGAGATGTTGATGAGAATGTCTGGCTTTAGTGTACAGGAGATGTTAGTGATGAGACAGTAGTATGACTTTAGTGTACAGGAGATGTTAGTGATGAGACAGTAGTATAACATTAGTGTACAGGAGATGTTAGTGATGAGACAGTAGTACGACTTTAGTGTACTAGAGATGTTAGTGTACAGGAGATGTTGGTGCTGAGACAGTAGTATGACATTAGTGTACAGGAGATGTTAGTGATGAGAGAGTAGTATGACATTAGTGTACAGGAGATGTTAGTGATGAGACAGTTGTATGAGTTTAGTGCACAGGAGATGTTAGTGATGAGAGAGAGATGTTAGTGTACAGGAGATGTGATGGTATGACTTTGAGACAGGAGAGTTAGTATGACATTAGTGTACAGGAGATGTTAGTGATGAGAGAGTAGTATGACATTAGTGTACAGGAGATGTTAGTGATGAGAGAGTAGTATGACTTTAGTGTACAGGAGATGTTTGTGATGAGAGAGTAGTATGACATTAGTGTACAGGAGATGTTTGTGATGAGAGAGTAGTATGACTTTAGTGTACAGGAGATGTTAGTGATGAGACAATACTATGACATTAGTGTACAGGAGATGTTAGTGATGAGACAGTAGTATGACTTAAGTGTACAGGAGATGTTAGTTATGAGACAGTAGTATGACATTAGTGTACAGGAGATGTTGGTGCTGAGACAGTAGTATGACTTTAGTGTACTGGAGATGTTGTGACAATACTACGTGTCAGAACTTGAGGTGTCAGGATTTCCTTTGTGTATATGTATGGTGGATACGTGATTGAAAGCAGTTCCAAACAAAGAAATGCCTTAATGAGCGCCAGGAAATAAAGCATATTGCATCAGCGCCTTTTCCTGATTTCTGCCAACTGCTGAAATTAAAATTAATTTCCAAGTTTTTGCTAGTATGACTGGATTCCAAGCAAATCAATATGCAATCCACATGTGAGGTTACGATAGGAGAAACAAATTGCCAGCGTGTTCTCCCAGGAGCCTTATGATAATTCTTCACGAAAAACAAAAAAACGTAAAGTACATTTACCTTCACTAACAGAAACTGTGGTTGGGCCATCATGCTGTTTTATGATTTGATTTGAACCACCAAGAAGAATTATGTAATCAAGGCGTAAGTAAATACAATCGTTATGCCATACAAACGGCCACCAGATGCTTACTAACATGTGGGCTTGTAGCATTATATTGGGTTTTCATAACGTGTTTTTACTACGCTATGTGATTTATCGGTTGTTGGAAGTTGAGGAAACAAAACCGAGATTGTTGGCTTATTCGGTAGATGTTTTGTTTAATAGTCACATTTATGTCAATGGAGGTATCCGTTTGTATTCCGTCTCAATCCTATAAACGACTGTTTTAGGGAAATTGGGACAAGTCTCGGAGGGAGGATGTATAGTAATATCTCGTGGCTGCTTCTCTGTAATAAGTGCATTGTGCATATACCGCAACGAATTTTATATCCGGGTTTAATGCGTTAGAGCACAGCTTGTAAGATACAACCAAAAAAGATACAGAGTTTATATTTTTAAACATGATTAAAAGTCACACAAGACAATATGATAAATTGGTGTAAATCTAGTTTTCTGTTATTATTGGGTAACACTACAACAACTCTTGTGTTTGTTATTTTATTTCTAATCCAACATTCACAGTATACTGTGTGAAAAGCTAGACACGCTGCTGCTGGAAATAAAAACTGACAGTTAACTGATGTACCTCCCGCGCACATCAGTCATAGCAAAACAGGTGGAGATAAGTGCGGCGGGGATCGGTTCGGGAGAGAGAGGCAGCGTCAAGTGACAGATCATTCTGATTTACATATTCTAGAACTACCAATATGTCTTTATCCTGTTTCAATAAAGGACGTGGGACTGTTTTACAGCTCTTTTTTTAGATTGTAATTCAAAAACAATGGAAAGCGTACAGCACAATTTGAAATTTTACTGAAACAATAAGGTTTTGTACGATTGCCAAGCAACGTGAAATTACGATATATTTATTGACAGAAGTTTGGCGTTTAGAGCGAACTTGTTTAATGACAAGTAGATACAGGAAAGTTTAATGGCAAGTTTCTAGTAAATCATTAATTCTGACAGAGATTACTTAAGACAAGAATTTGTCCTCGGTTGGTTATTTATTAGGACAATAACGCCATATTAAGACAGTGGTTGTATAGTGTTAATATATGTATATATCATCAGTCCCTGGTCATTAATTTCGTATTTATTTTCTGTCCCCTATGTATTCGCGTGAAAGTTAAGGCATAATATAGAATTGGCTATGCATTTGCATCTGCATATATCATCATGTATCATTAGTTACTAGTGAGTATTACCTGAATAATTACAGGTGTCAACACCGTCTTAACTGTATCTTATACATCAATAATTAATTACAGGTATCACCACTGTCCTAGCTGTATCTTATACATCAATAATTAATTACAGGTATCACCACCGTCCTAACTGTATCTTATACATCAATAATTAATTACAGGTATCACCACCGTCCTAACTGTATCTTATACGTCAATAATTAATTACAGGTATCACCACTGTCCTAGCTGTATCTTATACGTCAATAATTAATTACAGGTATCACCATTGTCCTAACTGTATCTTATACATCAATAATTAATTACAGGTATCACCACTGTCCTAGCTGTATCTTATACATCAATAATTAATTACAGGTATCACCACTGTCCTAACTGTATCTTATACATCAATAATTAATTACAGGTATCACCACCGTCCTAGCTGTATCTTATACATCAATAATTAATTACAGGTATCACCACTGTCCTAGCTGTATCTTATACATCAATAATTAATTACAGGTATCACCACTGTCCTAGCTGTATCTTATACATCAATAATTAATTACAGGTATCACCACCGTCCTAGCTGTATCTTATACATCAATAATTAATTACAGGTATCACCACTGTCCTAGCTGTATCTTATACATCAATAATTAATTATAGGTGCCACCACTGTCCTAGCTGTATCTTATACATCAATAATTAATTATAGGTGCCACCACTGTCCTAGCTGTATCTTATACATCAATAATTAATTACAGGTATCACCACTGTCCTAGCTGTATCTTATACGTCAATAATTAATTACAGGTATCACCACTGTCCTAACTGTATCTTATACGTCAATAATTAATTACAGGTATCACCACCGTCCTAACTGTATCTTATACGTCAATAATTAATTACAGGTATCACCACTGTCCTAGCTGTATCTTATACGTCAATAATTAATTACAGGTATCACCACTGTCCTAGCTGTATCTTATACGTCAATAATTAATTACAGGTATCACCACTGTCCTAGCTGTATCTTATACGTCAATAATTAATTACAGGTGCCACCACTGTCCTCACTGTATCTTATACATCAATAATTAATTACAGGTATCACCACTGTCCTAGCTGTATCTTATACGTCAATAATTAATTACAGGTGCCACCACTGTCCTAGCTGTATCTTATACGTCAATAATTAATTACTAGCTGTATCTTATACGTCAATAATTAATTACAGGTATCACCACTGTCCTAGCTGTATCTTATACATCAATAATTAATTACAGGTATCACCACTGTCCTAGCTGTATCTTATACATCAATAATTAATTACAGGTATCACCACCGTCCTAGCTGTATCTTATACATCAATAATTAATTACAGGTATCACCACTGTCCTGACGATGACGACGATCAGTAATGGGGTGCGGTCCTCCCTACCTAGGATCTCCTATGTCAAGGCCATAGATATCTACCTGGTCATGTGTTTTGTGTTCGTATTTGCCGCTTTGTTAGAGTATGCTGCCGTGAACTACACATTCTGGGGAGCTAGAGCAAAGAAAAAGACGAAGAAGTTCAAGGATGGCCTGATCACAATACAGCATCCTGTGGAAGACGAACCTGATGTAAATACAACGAACATCACACGCTGAACTAACAATTTATATCCATTCGAAAGAGCTTTCTCTAAGTGCATGTACTTCATCAATTAGGCAAACCATGCAATTATTTCTTAAATATTTTGAAGACATATTTCATTTCATTTATATCTAAATTGCTTAAAACGTTTTCCACAGCATAATACATGTTTACACTCAACAGTCACTATAAATATATATTTAAAAACTAAAACACAAAATAACACATCCTTACCATCATTAATCATAGATTTTCTATCCAGAATTTAATATGTAGTAGTATAGTGTTTGTGTCTACGTTATCGTTTCAGGTGGTCGATGACAAACCGATAGAATCAGAGGAGGTACAAATGTCACCTATAGTGGCCATTCGGAACTCACAAGGGACTAAAATTACTATAGAGGAGGATCACCTGGAAACTGCACCAAATATCCCGGACCTCCCGCGGACTTGTATGTCACGTGGCTATTTACACGATGACTTAGTGAGGAGAAAACATAACACAACAGTAAATAAAAAGAAAAAGTATTACACAAGTGTTAAACACAAAGCCAAAAAGTGCAAAGTGAGGTTCCCGAGGGTGAAGGACGTTAATAACATTGACCGCTACTCAAGGCTACTCTTTCCTCTTCTCTTCCTCCTCTTCAATATGTGTTACTGGGGCTTCTATCTCTTCTAGAGGCACTATCATGTCTAACTCCATACATCCATCGTTGAAGAAAATAACAATACAATGTAAGGAAATTCCAGGCAAGGTGTAGACGATCCTTGGGATTCGATGTCAACAGTGGAATCAGCATTCGCTCAACTTTTAGTGCGATTTCCCATCTGACAACACGAAGAACTGCATACAGCACGGTTTTAAGGGTTCTGTGCAGAAACATTTTCACAGACCAAAATATTTAGGGAAAAAATGTCGCTTTCTAGTTACAAAGATGTACAGCGATATTACTGTTATGTTCGGGAACTGAGGGAAATGATTTCATTTTTTTAATCAAATGAAAGAAAGAAAAATAATTTCCCTGGCTTCCAATATGTTGATACATATCTAACAGACACTGGATGATCCACGCTTCGACAAGACGGTATGAACAGTCTGTTCTATCATTGTGTTGTTGATAGTATGATTATAAACAAGTGTCTGCACGTATGAGGGTAAATGTTAACCAAACACCATAACAACGCTTATATGTACAAAGCTGTTCATGTCTGTTTTCATCTTTAAACATTTTCTCGTTTCATATATTGCAATAACCTAACATATTGAAGCATTGTCTTTTGATTTTTTTTTTCATTGTCTATGAGCAATACTTCTCAATCAGCAATAGCATTAATTGTGTGTGCTTTCTTTATCTTTGCAATGTTATCATGTTTTGTATATAAATATGTCCCCTTCACCAGCGCACGGAGTACCAGATAAATATATTTCTCACATACTACACCTTTTTTGTATTTCTCTTCATTGTTGCTTACAGAGGCTGTGAGGTAGTATTTAGCCATGCCACAGAGCACAGCAGAAACACCCATCACACTATCGACTGGCGGAAATAGAACTCTTCAGTATTTGGTTTCCACTAATCACAATAATCTTGCCAGGATCAGTTTCCTCTTCAACACGAAAGTGTAGTTGAGAAACCGAAATATTTTTTCACTGAATTAAAGTGAAAATTACAATTTATATTTCAACAAAATATAATCTTATGTTGATAAAAGTGAACGTAAACAAAACAGCAGAAATACACGACACACGTAACACCCTTAATCAGAATCAGAGAAATATACCAATATAACATAAACGCAAGTCAAACTTCGGTATTTCGAACTTCAATATTTCGAATTTCTCGGTATTTCGAACTTTTACATATCGAATTTCTTGCTATTTCGTTAAGAGAGGGAAAATATTTTTAAAAATCCAATGAATATATAATACAGTGACTACCAAATGACGCCAAATTGTAATATATTTACACACAAAATCAATTTATCACATTTTTGTAAATGTGGGAAATTATCAGTTTGGTAAAAACATTTATAATTATCACTGTAGTGATGTTATAACAATTCCTACGTCATCACTGGTCTTCTGACGTCATAGAGCTAATGTTTTCCGAACTTTTATCAGCACTGTTTTGTTTCATGTTTGAATCGGCTTGTTTAATATGTCTTTACAGATATTATAAAAAAAAAGAACGAGATTCCCCGTCGTAAAACGTGTATAATTCAATCAAGGGACAAAATATATCTATAATTTGTCATACTCACAAGATCACTTATATATTTTATTAAACAGGAAACCATTAAAAAGTTTATCTTTTTTTATCAATTTATTTACTAATTTGATGAAACTTATATCATCACTGCAGTGAAATGTTTACATGAACAAGGATGATACAAAACTTGATTTGACGAAATAGAATTGTGCTTTCTAGTCACCGCATTGAAATTTGCCGATTTTCTTGTTGAATAAATTAATTTTTCAAGAACTATTTCCAGAGTAAGTTTTATTGCACTAAGTATTTAAAAACGTTTTAAATTGATGTTTGCTAAATAATTGCGTACGATTGCAGAATTACACAAAAATCTATTCTAAATGGCGTCGTCTTCTTGTCAAACGAATTTATGGACACCGGTGTGTTTTATACTTCTTTTCTTCACTTGCATTTGTAACATAGCAATTAAATGTCGTAAATTAAGTATTTCCAATCGTTTTTCCCAGCAACCGTACTTTCCAGCATATTTACAATGGCTGCTATTAAACGGATTCTCTCTAGATTGTTCCTTGTAAACCTACTGTTTCCGCCACTCTCGCGAGTTTACTTTAGTTTTTTGGTTGGTTTAAAAAGACAAATCTAGTGAGATTCCGTTACTGGTGGCCATTGTAAAAAATTGATTGGAACATTTAAAACATATATGCAAGTTAGCATAAAAAAGTTACATTTTCACATCGATGTAGCCTTCATAACAATCGCTCTGTTGTAAACTATATCAAACATTGTCTGAAGGCCTATTCATACACGGGTCGCTCACAACTTTGTGTTTTCATGTAGAGAGGAACTATCGACAGTGACCAAGACAAAAACAAAATGGTTGGCAGATAGTCAGACCCCTCCGGACTAGATGTACATCTTATAGTACACAACTACAGCATAAACACATATCCAACATATGGGTATAAATAAGTCCCTAACCATTCTGTGGTACATGAGCAGTGAAGTGTCAAAAGCAGTTAAACAGTCTTTCAAAAAAATAGAAAGGTCTACCTACCGATCTCAAGTTTTTGGGGGCAGAAACAGGAAACACATATTTTTTTCTGCTGAATATCAAGAGGGTCATTTACAACGATAGTACATTTGAAAACTAACGCCTTTGAAAACGATCTGTGAAATATTTTAATCTGTGGTGTATGAAAACAAAATCTACAATTTTCAGTCAAATATTGACTTTAAATGGAAATTTTTAATTTTCAAACCCTTATTTGACACCCAAATTTCAAACGAGCCTACCCAAAATGTAGGTGACCTTAAAGAATGTTCCTGTTAAAACTAACCACTGAATGACCAGAAAATGACCACAGAATGACCATAGAAAGAATGGTCCCTATTAGCATCTATCCTTTCTTGGAACAACATCAAACGGAAGTGCAATGGTTCTGGAATAAAGCAAGTGAATTTATAGTCAATATGAAATGCTATAAAACAGGTTTGCTGTTTAGTAAGTGACATCCATAACCGTTGTAGTAGTGTATTAATACGTGTTTCACTTGGCGTTCTATTGATGCTAGATGTGTGAAAATTTGAAATGTATTGAATTGTGTGATTATGCCCCTCTTCGGTCAATTTTTATTTTCGTCGTTTCCTAGGTTTCATTATCAAGGTCCTTAGCATCACTGACGCGTTCTGGAAGAGCTGAACAACTGTCTGGTGCAGTTAAATTGATTGAATGACTCTATTGCATCTAACGCCCAATTTGTATATTGGACGGTGCTATTCGCTTGTGTGTCTTTAGTGCATGTTTGATCATCCTTCATGTGTGTTCGCTTGAGCCGATAGATTCGTTCTTGTCATGTCGGACACCTATAAACACAACAGGAGCCATTGTGGACTACAAAACCATATCGTATCTAGTTATTCAGTAGATTTAGTACTTGATATAACCAGACACACGGCGATAACAGTCCAAAAAGTAAGTTAGCAATGACGTCACTAGACGGAAGTACTAACTCGAATATTGTATTCACTTAAACTACGTGAACACCAGTCAGAACATTTAAAATGTATATGATACGAAGTACATGTGTTCACAGAATTAAATTATACTTGTTTACAAATAGATGACCATGTTGTGTAAAACACAACATTCCCTACCAAGTGATGACATTCGAGGAGACAAACACACCAGAACCATCAGATCTATGTTGTTTGTGTCTAATGATTAGATAGGATCCATCCAGAAACTGAAAATACTGACATATCAGTGGGCTTAATTAAAATTTGATAAAACGAGAGAAAAATGTTAACAGAAGAAAGATTTACACAGAGACCACTGAAAAAAATACAAGAAGAATAAGGCCAGGTATTCTTGAAGGCCTTTAAGAGTAAGCATCTCCTGTTTATACTATCCACCATGTACATCTACACCCATCCAAGTCACAAGAATGATATTCCATCGTCATCATTATCGTGATAAAGAAAGCAAACTACATCTAGAGACTGTTATCATATCATCAACTTTGATTCTTGGATGGAAATGATATCGGGACAACACATTTAAATATGACCTAAACACTTTATATATTTAATCTGAAGTACGGTTGTACCGTCAAACAGGCCTATATTTAAGTGAAGTCTATGATTTATGATATGAAGGTCGTAACATATATTCTACCAAAATAAAACAGCTAGATTAAACTTTGTTGTACTTTCCATTTTAATACGTAAAAAAAATTCTTTGATTTTACACTAAATCTTACTGGATTTGATGCTGAACACAGGGGTATGGGTGATGTACTTTATCTGCTTTCCCGACAACCACTGTTTGCACACCAGGCATATCTTAAGTGAACTAATATGATAAAGTAAATTTTGATTCTGTTAACCTAATGTGAATAGAGTAGATTATCTTTCCAGGTTGGTGACATCATATAAAGGAGAAGCGTACTTGCGAGGAAGAGACTTCGGAATAAAACCAGATTACACTTAATTACACCTCCTACGGTACAAATTATGTAAAATACAGCTTTTACGGTGAAAATGACAACCTTTCGTCATTTAATTACAACATTAGTTTAATAGCTTATCAGAGCTAAAAAGAAAACAATTTTCCAAACAGGAGTTAATTGATTTGGTGTGTTTTCCAAATACGGGAACGTCAATTACCAACCATCCGCAACCCAATTTTCTGAGTAGCTGAAAATTCTAATGACTTTATGAAATTGAGAAAGCATTCAGTCTCAATTTTGGAGTCCCTGGAAACCAATAAAGACCCGTAACATGTCATGAAAGGTTATGAAATATTGAAACGTTAATTTTTGACGTAGTCACGATCCATTTATATCTGCTCTGTCGCCTGGAAAAAAATATTGACAGCGTGTTCATGTCAACACTAAAACAATGGGCTCAGACCGTCCGCCCACGTGGCAGTGTCATGATGCAGTTTAATTCATTTTTTGGCTCTACTTTA